TGCCTCGATACTATCGAGTATTGAAACATGTTTTGTCGTTCGGCACCAAATTTGAGAATTCTCAAACTGAGAATTTCAGAATCGATTCTGAGCTTAGTTTTTAACCAGATGCGCGATGACACGGAGTTTGCTTTAGAGACACCCGTATTCTGCTTGCTTCCAATTCCAATCTCACACAAGCTAGATTAAATTGATTATTACATTTTAAATATGGTTATTTTTCTTACAAAAACGCATCGATTCGCTACAGGAGACCTTTGTTCACCACCCGGAGCCGTGTGAGACACTTTGTTTTTTATGGATGGGCACTTTTTATTTCCTTATTTTGGACTGAAGCACTGCAACACCCGCTGACTGCAATGATAAGAGCTTGGAATAGCCAGGACCATTTTTAATATAACGCTGACTGGATTTGTCTGAAAGAAGAAAGTCATATACACCTAGGATGCCTCGGGGGTGAGTAAAACAGCCCAATTTTCATTTTTGGGTGAACTAACCCTTTAATAGATCTCCCGCTGTCTATGATGTCATAGTAAAAAAACAACAGTAAAGATGAAGAAAAATCACTCACAGTTCTTGAATGGAAAACGTTCAGATAATCTTAAATCATGAAAGCACTCTTTGTTTTTTGTTTGTAATATGATTCTATGCTCCTCTTTATTATTTGCTACTTGCTTGTATGTTTTGAAGTCATATTAGTTTAAAATTCTTAACATACAACTGTTTTAATATTTATTTTTCAATTTGTAATTATTTTAAAAAGTACTTAATTACTTATGTAATTCACACTGTAGCATCATGCTCAAATTGCGATCGAATGAGGGTTTTGGTCATATAATGCTGCAGAAATTTTATTTGTAGCCTTTTATATCAAGCTAATCGCTACACCTGCTTAGCATTTCTCATGTAAACACATGTAGCGTCTGGACCAATCAAACACACAATATATATTTTGTTTTTATATTTAACAAATACTCTGTAACCCCCCCTTATTATTTGATACATTAAGTATCAATGACACCTTTTAACAAAGGTGTGTTTGAACTAAGAATCTGACGTTTCACTCAGGTGTGAGCCGAGTCGCTACACACACTATACTGCTATAAAAAAATAGGCAGAATCTCATGAAAATCACATACATGTTTCATCCTTGTAAATGCTTTTCTGGACATGTAACGCATGTTCGTAGTCGGAGACAGGGCAGGTTATGAACATGTAATATGAGTGACATATGAGCAGCAAATGAGCTTCCTCGGAGTCAGAACAGCGATCGCGGAAGAGAAAACGTAGGCAGCTAATGCTCATCAGATTGCGTAAATCAGTGGAAAGTGAATAGAAATGATGATTCCGTCTAAGCTATGCATTTTAAAACGAAAACACACAAGTGTAAACGTAGCCTAGGGACATTAGTCCTGAGGACATCATCATTGAAGAGAGGGCTTGTCTGTCTCCTGAAAAAGCAGACATGCTCATTTTTTCCATCCTTTTTTCATAGAAGAACTGCTGAGAGATTTAAAGATCTTAAGTATGCAGCAGTGATCCTCACATACTGACTTAAAACGGTTCATTTTGCACTGACTACTATTTGAACTATTAAAACTATTTGCACTGATTTATTGTGTTGGTTACATTTTGTTCCTTTGTGCAGTGGCTCAGGAGATGAGTTTTTTAAAAAAAAACTAAAAAAATAATTTTATGAGGTAATGTAATCTTGTTAAAATGGATTTCATAAAATTGGTATCGAAAAAAGTATCATTCAGGAACCAGTTATCGAAGTCAAGGTATCGGTATCGGAATTTTTTGAACGATACCCAGCCTTATTTTATAGTCTGGCAGACAAATACAAAAATCTTCTCTTCAACATCCGCACTATTTGTGAAGCCAAAATCGGTTCTTCTAGTTCTCAGAACAGGTCTAAATGACTCGTTAATGAATCAAACTGAAACCAAAGTTCGGTTCTTGAATTCGACTCACTGAATCAATAATCAGATTAACAGCTCACTGCACAGGAAGTTTTTTTTGTTTGTTTTTTGTGACATATATTTTGGACTGTACCTCACATAAACTTATCGTATGAATTCAGAAAACCTGAATCAAAGTGCATGAGTCATATGGACCATGTTTTTGATACTTTCACCTTTCTTTGCATCCTTTTTGAAACTCGAAAGCACCAGCCACCATGTGAACTACCTGCATGGAAATAACTAGTACAATGAAGAAATAAAGTCATGCAGTTTTGGAACGACATAAAGGTGAGTAAATTATGACAGAATTGTCATTTTTGCATGCACTATTCCTTTAAATATGATAATGTATGGAGGAACGGACCTGGAGCACAACCGGTGGGCAAATGCACCATCAGCAGTTGTGCAAGTCAAATAAGGACGAGAGGAAGAGATCAACAGAGAAAGAGAGAGCCCTAAGTGCTTTCTCTTTTGCTGGCACAGAACAATGATTCACACCATTGCCCACTGTATCCCACAAATGAAGCATTACGTACAGTGGCTACCGTTACTGCAGGAAATGCATCCTCTCTGTTCTTATCAACACTCATTTCATTCCCATCCTTCTGTTTTCCTCTATTCATCCTCCACTTCACATTGTATCAGAGCAGGCGGAAGGTTCCCCACCATGACGGGCTGCAAAATAACAACTGTCACCTTCAGCACAATTCATTAAAGCAATTTAATGTTGCCGCCCTCCAACGTAATTTTTATAATTGAAATTTAATTCTCCAACAATATATTTTTTTTTTAAGAAGGAGGGGGTTAATTGACATTTGTGGTAATTAATTGCCAGGCAGAGATATGTTTATGTGGATAAGTTAAAAACAAAAAGTGACACGGAAAGCAGAATAAAGGGACAGCATGCTGAGATGATCTCATCATCACGGCCTTCCCTCCTGCGGATGAAAGGAAAGGAGAGGGATGGAGGGATGGAAGGAGCAACTTCACTTCGCAGTGGGGGATTTAATTGTGCAAGGATTCCATTACCTCGGCACAAATGTCATGTTTGCTTCTAATTGGGGGAAAGGTGGGGACTGGCACCATGCCAGATCTATGGCACAGAAGTGTTCTGCCAGTTGCAAATATACAAGCACGCTCACACAAAGCTGCAAAGTGAAGGTGACAGGAAGACTAGTCATTGACGGCAATACATAAGTGTGAAGGGACAGCAACCCTCTACACTGCGAGTAAATTACTCGCATAAGCGACTACATCTTCACTCTGGGCGACTAAATAATATCTATTGTTAGCCATTGGCTAATAAATTCTTAGATTTTACTCACCTGTGTGTGTGTGTGTGTGTGTGTGTGTGCGTGTGTGTTAGAGGCTAATTACAAGTTTAGCATAGATACATTTTCACTCGCTGAACAATCTGAGAGCTTGAGAGTTTCATTCTCCGTCAAGTGATCTGTACTATTTCAATTCACCTCAATGGATGTCATTCCTGTCAAAATAACTAGTTCATTTAGAATTATTCAGCTTTTAAGAACAACCAGAAGATATGCCCGTTTCTCCGGTATTAGGCGGAACTAATGCGAAAACTGCAATCTCATTGGCTGGCGCTCATCTATTACCATCCCGATTTTGATTTCAGCAAATCAGTTTGAGCAAAAGCAGACAACATGATTAATATTCATGAACCCAGCAGCTCATCAATCCTTAATGTGTTGTATATTGTTAGTATAGTACTAGAATTAGTAGTAGTATTATCTTTTAAAAATATAAACTACTATTTTTTTTACAGAAACCCTGAATGACCAACAATATCTTAAGCATCACCACAACTTCTAAGTTCAGTTAAAATGACAATATGCATTCATTCATGGTTACCAAGTTTTAGTTCTAATCACTAAAGTTCTATCATTAAATAGTGCTTAATTATCATAATATCATAATATAATGCTTGATTGACTGATTAAGAAGCTAAGATTTGAGAAGCTGTGCCATTTTAAAAGATAAGCTGATTTGGTGGAATCATCTTTCTATATATATATATATATATATATAAAATATTTACCAAAGTAAACTAAAAAATTTACTAACCAATCGCGATTATATTGCCAAGGTGTGCGTAGAGAGTTGGAAAATGACACTAAAAGTGGGTCAAAGGCCAATGGGCAGAAGTACCAACCATTGGGTAAAGAGAACAAACACAACCCAGATAAAAAAGATCTTAAGAAAGTTTGGGGTTTCAGGATGAGTGTTCTCGTAGACAAGAGAAAGATGATCTCTTTGCCGTCTAGGAGAAAAAAAAATTGAGACATTACTGAGATTAAATGGAGATTTTGGTTAAGCTTCCTTCTTCTACGACATGACATAAAAAAACAACTCAATTTATCTAACATGTCTCAAGTACAAAACAGATCTCAATGTTTCAAATTGTGCTCACAGTTGCCAGATACTAAATATCCACAGGTTAAAGACTGTGCAAATAGAGACTAAAAATCTCCTGATTTTTTTCTGAGAAAAAGACCCCAATAATCTCATATACCCTCTAAAATTTCAGAAAGAAAGCTCAACATTGCCTCAAACTACACTCAAATTTGCCAGATATGAGTTGTTTCACAAATAATAATTCATGGAGATCAAATAAAGAGACTCTGTTGACACCTAGAGTTTCAGAAAACATCTCAACAAGGTCTCAAAAGTAGAGATTTCAGCATGAATTCAGAACATTTCTCATCAAATTCTTCCACAACACACTTACTATATGTCAACACCGGCTTCATTTCTATCTAATTATATTTATCCTAGGAGATTTTATGAGAAAATTACAAATCAAAAGTTGATAATTCAATAAAATACATCATATAAAATCAAGTCTTCTGACATATGAAACACCAACCTCTGAACAAAAACAAAAAAAAACTGGTTGTAGTCAGAGTAAAATACATACTGTACATCCGTTTTACTACTATGCAAAAAAAAAAAAGGTGGCACAGCAGAAAACATACATTTGCGTGGTTTCGAGGAAAAATTCTGAAGATAACATACCAGTCACTTGTTTGTACTGGACTGATGTTCCATTGTTCCAATCAGAATTCAGAAAAGGGAACAATGGGGCGGAACCATTGGATACGGTGCAGCCAGCTCAATCTGAAATACAAAATGAGCAAAAAAGACAAGAGAGAGACACAAGTGCATATTAACTTCAGCAAAATTACAAACAGGAATTGATACCATTCTCTAAAGGTGGGGGAAGTCCCTTAAATTCACTCAACCCACATAAACCTGGATGATGACTCAAATGAGAAAGGAAAAAGGCAAAAACGTGATGAAATCCAACCACAAATGCTTAATTTGGTGACAAATTAATTCCAGAACTGACCTAAATGCATCTTAACACATTTTCAGATTTTCAACAGCAAGCATTTCTGACACTTGTGATATTTACTCAGAGTGTCTGATAATCAGCTCAAATCTGCATTGCTGTTCTAAAGAATGGCAGTGACTCGAGGGACGACTCATCTAAGGAAAAGCTGTGGCCACACACTACTTGACAGAATTCTCTGGAACATTTTGTCAGATCCCGTATGTCACTGACACATAGCTGTGACCAATCAGCATCAGTGGAGGTGCTTTGCTTAGTAAAATGCGTATTGCAGAGGTCAGCATTTACTTGAGAGTGTTATCATTAGGAGCGAAAGGAAGACAAAAAGAGAGAGTGACAGAAAAAGGAGGGGGGCAAAAGAATCCGGAGGGTTAAAGAAGGTAAGAAAAAGACAGAAACAGAAAGTGACAAAGACGGAGAGGAGTGTCTGTCATTTGTTAACCCGGCACAGGACTGCATGGTGGAGTTTTATTAGTGCAAGGGAAAATTGCTCAGCTATTGTCACCACGCTATAACAGAAGGCTGGCCGATAGACTGAATATTTACGATGTATTTGGAAGTATTTTGATGGCAATACCAACATCGTGAATATAGCAATGATTTTAATGAATGTTTTACTTGCCCATTAACCTTTCAAAAGACCACGGCATACCGCCTACATGTGTCACAACAAGAGATATCTTAATTGTGCTTAAACATGAGTAGCAAGTGCCAGTCGAGTTGGGAAATTTGATTAACTTCTGCAAATTAGTACTTCTGTCAATTTTAATGAATCAGTTCATTGATTCACTTGGAATCACTCAAATTTTTACATCCGTCCCTGGATAAGATTTCATATGCTTATAAAATGCTTAGTAAAATATATGCTGTTTATTAATAATACTGTTTTTATGTATTTATTAATATTACTGTTTATTTATTATATATTGCTGTTTTGGTTGGCATTTTATATTAGTGCTTAAAAATTCTAATGATATTATAAAATCAGGTAACACTTTATTTTAAGGTGTCCTTGTTACACATGCTACATGCACTAACTATTGTAATAACTATTTATGCATAATTACATGCAAGTAACCCTAAACCAAACCATAATCCTAACCATATAGTAAGTACATGTAGTTTAATTAATATTACTCAGTACTTAAATGTATAATTACACTGTAACAAGGACACCTTAAAATAAAGTGTAACCTAAAATTATTATAATTATATTAAATTATAAATTACTATAAATAATAATATAAATGTTAATTATTTTGACAATTACTATATAAATTATTTTCAAATATTTCCTTGTGCTTGTTTAGTGGAAAAAAATGATTATGTCTATCCACATTGTCTGTATTTTATTCCATACTTTAATTCCTTTAATTCCATACTATGGAAGAGCATTGCGTTAGCAGCGCAAAAGGTTGTTCGATTCCCAGGGAACACCACATATTGGTAAAACATGTATAGCCTGAATGCACTGTAAGTCGCTTTGGATAAAAGCGTCTGCTAAATGCATAAATAAATAAAATAAATAAATAAATAAACCAAAAATAAATAAAAAAGCTTCAAAAATAGTTAGCTATATCTGTCACATCAGACCAACATGGTACAATTTCAACATTCCAAAACTCTCAATTACATACAAACTCTGGCCTGTCCCCTCCTAGAGGCCAAATATTCACAGTATGTCCCCAACAGACCCAATAAAATCAACCCTTGCATTACAGCTCATCTCCATGACATTCCTCTGTGTGGAATTTAGCTAGCGCTAACCCCCTTAGCTGGCCGCATTCCTCTGCTCCGCGTCGGGCGCTAAGCAGCTTCAGATAAGAGCCGCTTTGATTAGCCTCCCGCGTTCTTGTCATTGCTGAAGAAAATACACGATCCCAAAAGACCCCTCTGCCCCCTCACTGGTATTTATGACTCTCACATCAATGAATTCCAAAAATAGGGAGTTTAAAAGGAGCAAGAGGAAATAGCTACAGGTAAAGAGAGAGAGAGAGAGAAGTAACTGTAGTATTAAGAGCAGCTAGGGCACATGAAAGTGAAAGAGAGATGGAAGCTACTCCAGGATAGAGATGGATGATCTGATCTTCATTGAAAGAGAGGAAGTGGCAAAGAAACAACAAAAAAAACAGCCACATACATTAACCTTTAAAATGTCATCTTTACAAACAGGAAGGAAAATAAAGCAAAACCAAATGTGTAAAACACAACTAAAGACGTGTATGGCTGTCAACAAGACAAAGTTTTAAAAACCTTGATAAAGCAGTCTCACTCACTAATCGACTCCCTGAATTTTTGAACAACTAGTCATCCAGTGTAAAATCCACATTTATCTTATACTTCTAAACTATAATTGTATGTCAAGAATAGTTTTATTTGTATGTATTTTTACTTAGAAACAACTGGGAACTGGGTCTAACATACATTTCAGGTAAGTATCTAGCATTAAAGCATTAATTTTAACACAAGGCTCCACCATAAAACGTGAAAAAATTAAGGGGTCATACTGTATATATACATTATGCAAAAAGTGCAACTATGCAAAATTCCAAAGGAATATAAAAAAAACACAAAAAACTAATGTTGATTGATAGATGTATGTTCTGTGTATGAATGAGCAACCTCAAAGCAATAATATCTTCCTCAGGGCACGCAAGAACTCACAGGTTTGACTCAGCGACATCATTTTGGTGGCAAACTAACTGCTCAATACAACACACCTCGGCATCACCAACATGTGGTTTTAATCCACATTTCACACAAATTACCGTCCCTGTCAGTCTCAGACAGAAACCAGTTACCAGCCACTTTAGAGTAGTTTGATAATTGCCATTATATGTGTGTCAAGTTTCCCACAACTGCGAAAAGACGTGTGAAAAATCACACTGTGTGATAGAAACACACTATACTCACAGTATTCTTTCTGCTAAATATGTGGTATACCCATCCACCACAAGGAGACACATAACCTAAAATAAAACAGAGCAATTTAAACCTGCAACCTAATATTTCACATGACACTATTACAAAACAAACTTCTCCAATCTGATTCAGATTAGCAGCATACCAAATAAATTGTTTTCACACAGATCTCTCAAAACAATTCTCCCCGGCTGCCATTGGCCAGTCAAATAAATAGCCCTGCGCCCCTACCTTTAACTCGCACAATTGGTTGCCGCTGTTGCTATGCCAGGCTAATCAGGACTCAGCATAGTCACAGAAACTTTAAACTTATAGGAAATTAAGAAACTCCTAGAAATTGCTTACTCCTAGTTGTGTCTGCATTAGCTAATCCTGCGGAGGAATTATTTTATCTTAGAATGCCATCTGATATGCTATGTTCTGAGCCTCAGCACGATTGCGCATGTGATATTGCTTTTACACAACAGTGCAATAAACGAAAAGAGAATAAGGAGAAACTTAAATTTTAGATGCATTATTGCCAGTTACTCCTTTTCCACCAACAAAATATTTACAAACAAAGCCACAGCAAAGTAATCCTGCGGATCTCTGAGCAAACACTCAGATGTTGCATTTCATTCCTGAATAAATCAGCATTTTTGAATGAATCGCTTGAATGAATGATTCAATTAATCATTCTTTTACTGAATGAATCAGTTGAATGAACAATTCAATGACTCTCTTAAAAAGACCTACAAGCATCAGTTGCATCGCAGTTGCACCATTTACAAGTCCTCTGCTGTGGTCTCATGGGATAGTAAAGTGTGTAAACTGTTTTATAAAATGAAACATTTCAAATCAAGAATAATATAAAAAAAATAATGGTATCATAAACTGTGCTTCTTATACTCAGATAATGCACATTATTATTTTTAATTTTTTTTAAAAATTCTAATTCTGAACCATCTCCTCTCTGCCCTATACGGTGAAAAATATTTAGTGATAAAAAGACTTAAGAAACTCAGATGTTGAAAAGAACCACAGAAAAAAATTGCATTAGTGGTGCTGGTGGTTTTTCAAAACCCCTAACTCTTAAACATTAAACATCAGTGCATAAACATGAGCCACACCTTAGCAACCAAACAGCAATGCTCCTGCATCCAACCACAAAAACTAGCATTGTGATGGCAAGTTTTGCATATGCAAGTGCCAGTCATACTAAAATGAAATTATAAGCCTTCTGCTCACAGCAAGTACTCTTTATACTGTGTTTTAATTGCTTTCCTGTATTACCATACCATATTATTGTACAGTTAGTTACATTTTAGCTAGTATGTGTTTCAGCTGCTATTGCACTCCACAGTACTGAACACATTTACCACCACCATGATTGTGCAGCAATAAAGAAGTGTGAATCCTGAATCTGGACCTCATCCTCAAGACAATGACCTACCCAAGATGGGACAATTTAAGGGAGTGGTTTGCCTGCAGCGATCTTCCTTTTGACCCGGCAGCACGGGAAGAGCTGGAGGAGATCAGAATGATTTAGAGCTCTTCTCTTAGACGTGCTGACAAGGTTAGAGGGTCAACACAGACATTAACAGGTCAGTGTGTGGCCCACTTGGGGACAATTACTCCTGGCCACGGCTAAGTGGACACTTGATTGAACACGACAGTGCTGGGAATGCGCCATCCCTATAGATAACAATTCTAAGGACCATTTAGGATAAAAAGCCCTTGTGATACGCGCCTTTATGGCCCAAATTCATCTTTCTTTGCGCTTTTAAAAAAAGAATGTTGGCAGTGTGATCGAGGGGTTATTCTCTGGGCATGAGGAAGAGAAACATTAGAGAGCGCTTGCATC